TTGTTGTACCGAGTTGTAGAAAATGTAAATAAGTTCATTCTCTCCTTGCATGAATATGCTAGTTTGGAGTTGCTGGAAGCTTTTGAGCATCTCTTGTACATGGATATTTGGTTACGGTCAAGTTGTTTGGTGGTTTGACCGTGTAATAACTATTGAGAAGATTGAAAATTCTGAAGGACTTGGAATATGCTTTGGATGATAGTAGGGGGAGTGAATTATGAGAAGTTGGAACAAAAAGAGTAGTCACTAGAATTGGATTAGTTTCTTTTGTTTGAACAGGTGTAGCTTTTCTCACGAGATTTGGGGTGTTAACCGTCACATTAGAGGCAACGGTGTTACACTGAGCGAATAGTCGAGTGGACTTGGATGTCGCCGTGGTTTACGTAAGATTAACCAAACACTAAAGTAGAAAGAAGATCAGTTAAAGCAAATGAGCAATGAAGAGGCACTGGTTTTCACAAGAATTTAAGGGAATCAGTAGATGTTTCCACATACGACGCTACAGTTCCGAGCTGAAGAGAGCTCTTCTGGTGTGGAGAAGAAAGCTCCTAGTGCAGCAGAGCGGAGAGGACATGCAGGGTTAGTATTCCAATGCCCAAGTCAGTGAAGCCAAATAAATGTATTTTGAGAGTGAAAGTGAGAAAATACTTGAAATGACGCGTCGTTAGGCTTATATATGGAAGACAATCAAAACTCCTTCCGTGTAATGTGTAACATCCAGTGAAATGTTGTGAGTTGTTTGATCATATCTAATGGCGGATTATTCACTAGCAACTATGATAAAGTGTCGGATTTTTGGTGAGAACCCACATTTTCCTTTGTTTGCTAATTGGATACCACAAATTGGTCCTTATAATTGGGCGATCCGACACAAGCCTTTTGATTGTTAGTTGATTGGGAAACTATTTTCTCCTATAAAGTTTATAATGGGATAAATAATTTACCTACGTTGGTTTTTTATCTTGTTCTTGTTAATTTATTATTTTCATATTTTTGTTCATGCAGTTTGACCGAATTGCCTACGTTTGTGACTATAGAGTAGTTATAGTTCCCTTTTTATCTTGTGAATTGCAGTGAATTAAAGTGTTACAAGCCATATATAATACTAAGTTTTAATTTATCTAAAACCCTAATCCCTAGTTTCCTTAAATAAACAATTATCTCTACCCATAATTATCACAACAATATGAGTTATACTCGCAACAATCTATTATTATCTCAACAACCCATAATCATCTCAACAATATGAGTTATACTCTCAACAACCCATAATTATCTCACTAATATGAGTCATATTCAACAATATCCACCTTAGCGAATATCAAACCCATATGAAGACTTCCTTCATAATGATTCATCTTAGAAACTGGGGAGGTGCACCTCCTGCTTAACACTGAGAAGTATGCAGCAGGTCCAAACAATGTTTGAACTTGTCACTGGTGACTAGCTTGGTCAATATATCAACTGCATTTTCTAAAGTGCGAACAGTCTGAAGTAATATTTGTCTGGATACCAACAACTCTCTGATCTTGTGGAACCTCACATCAATATGTTTGGTCCTAGAATGATACACATGATTGTTCGTCAAATAATCACTTTGAATGACACAATACAACTGAACTCCATCTTGCTCAATACCTAACTCTTTCACTAACCCAGTAAGCTATAATACTTTCTTGGAAGCTTCAACTACTTCCATGTATTCTTCCTCAGTTGTATATATAGCTATTATGAATTGAACTAATGATCTCCAATATATAGGCCCCCTACAAGAGTAAATACATACCCTATTGTAGACCTCCTATCATTTAGATCACCCACATAGTCAGAATCCATATATCCCATGATTGATGGAATATCCTGCTCCATGATGAACATGATACTATGATCTGTTGTACCCTTCAAGTACCTTAGGATTCACCTGACTACTTACCAATGTTGCTTCCCTGACTTGGACATGAACTTGCATACTTGACTAACTGCTTATGTCAAATTCGGTCTAGTGCAAACCATATCATACATCAAACAACCAATTGCATTCGCATAAGGAATCTTAGACACACCTTCAATCTTTGAGTCTGTCTTCGAACATTGTTCCAAAGAGAGCTTAGAATTATTCGCCAATGAAGTACTCGCAAGCTTTGCTTTTCTCATGTCAAATCTGCTCAAAACACCTTCAACATAATTTTTCTCAAACAACCATAATTTATTATCTCCTTTGTCCCTATGAATTTTCATCCCAAAAATTTTCTTTGCAGCACACAGGTCCTTCATATCAAACTCCTTACCCAATTTCTTATTCAACTCATTTACATCTTGCAAATGGTTGACCCCAATCAACATATCATCAATATAAAGTAACAAAAAAATATAAAAGAACCACATCAAGACTCCTCACATAAACACAACAACTATAATCACACCTTTTATAGCCAATTTGGAGCATGTATAAATCAAAGTGCATGTACCGCTTTCTTGGAGATTGCTTCAAGCCATACAAAGACCTCTTCAATTTGAAAATAAGTCTATCATGTCTAGTATCACAGAAACCCTCTGGCTGATCTATATAGATTTTCTCCTCTAGATTACCATTGAGAAAAATTGCTTTCACATTCATCTGCTCTAAATGAATATCCATATTGGCTACCAGGGCCAATATTGTTCTGATAAAAGTGTATCTAATGAACAGACTAAAAATCTCATCATAATCAATCCTCTTTTGTTGTGAATATCCATTTGCAACTAGGCGAGCCTTAAACTTTTCCCCTTCTTTTTCTGTTACTACTGATTTTTTCATGTACACTCACTTGCAACAAATATCTCTCTTTCCTAGTGGCAGATGAACAAGATCTCATGTCTCATTCTTTTTCAAGGACTTCATCTCCTCCACCATAGCACCTATCCACTTATCTTTCTTTTGGCTAATCATAGCCTCTCAAAAAGTAAAAGGGTCTCTTGAACTAGTAAGAAGAGCATATGATGTTAAGTCTTCAAACTCATATCTCACTGGACGTGAAATACGATGGGGTTCCATATCACGCACAAGTGTATAGTCTTGTACTCCACCTAAATCTTGCACTTCACCTGAATCTGAGTCTGGTTCATCCTGCTATTGTGATACAGTCTGCCTTGGGCTCACTGGTGGCTCCTCAATGTACACTTGAATCTTGTCTTGGTTGGAATGTTCTACATCGGTATTTGGCACAACTGTCACATCTGACTATTTCAACATCTCAAAAGTGTTAATAGGTTAAACGTTTAGGGCTCAAGAGACATTGACGACACATATCCATCCAAAACTTTAAGGCAATAGGGGTATGGGTCACCTATCTTATAAACCCAATATTTTCTCCATTCTTAGTCGTGTGAGACTTTAGCACTTTCACAGTTGAAACCCAACAATCTTCCTACAAGTGTCAAACACCCACATCATTAGCCTTGATCCACACTGGGATCTACTTCGCTCCCCCACCGAGCCAACCAGACTTTGATACCAATTGTTATAACAGTAACGCAAATACATATCAGAGTAGAGAGAAACACAAAAGTTTAGTTCACGCAGTTCGACCAAATTGCTTACGTCTGCGACTATAGAGTAGTTATAGTTCCCTTTGTTTATGTCTTGTGAATTGCATTGGATTGTTGTGTTTCAACCCATAATTATCTTTGTACAACTCATAATTATCTCAACAACCCATAATTATCTCAATAATATGAGTTATATTCTCAACAACCCATAGTTATCTCAACAACTCATAATTATCTCACCAATATGAGTCATATTCAACACTAACCCTCGAGTTAGAGAGGACTATAATAGACGGCAAAGTTTTTCCTCAAAAGATTTAACACTATTGCATCCCAGAGTGGAATTCGAATCCAAATATCTAATTAAGCTGAAAGAGATCCTACCTTTTCAACATTTCAAATGCTCTTGGATTATGATTTGCATATCCTAAGTGATAGATTATAATTATTTAAAACGGTTTATTATTAGTTTATTAGTATTATTTTTCTCAACATGACTATTTTTTTTTTTTTTGAGTGATTGAATGTTCAATTTACAATCTCTTTGAAGTTGAAAGGCTTCAAGTAACGGAAGAAACTTATAACTTTAAAGTTATAACAGAAGGTAAGTAGTAATTGGCGTTATTAGTTAGAAGCATTTCTAATATTGGTTGCAAAAGGGACTGTTTTTTCAGTTTGGTATCAAACAGAAAGACATCAATTTTGCATTGATACTTTTCAGTTTACTCAAATGTCAGCGCCTTACATTCTGGAGTTTTTTAGTTACACTTGTAATTGCTTTTTCCCTTTACTTATCTGTTTCTTTTGGTGGTTGGTAATGGTTGAGACTTGCAAAAGCAAAAGCAAAATAATCACGTTTACCACTACAACCATGAAGCAGCTGGCGTTGATGGTGCTAATCACAAGAATCATATCATCACTTAATTTCATCCCTTTTCAAATCTAAAAGTACCATTTCTTCATCTTTTACAATATCATAAAAGTAATACATAAAAAATTGCATAATTGAATTAATGTGTCTGTATCACTGACAAACACGGATTACATTGAACACTGTCTGTATCACTGACAAACACGGATTACATTGAACACTGAACACACGCCATCAATCTGAAGTGTCGATTGAATTACATGTCTTTGTATTAGTGACAAACACTGATGCATTGGACACTGAAACATGACATCAATCCGAAGTGTCAATGCTATAAAAAATAAGAAAACAAACAAACCATTGCTCATCTTTACTAATTAATAAATTAGCTGACATATACAAGGTCATTCAAGAATGCACAACAAAGAAAAACCAAAACCTAAAGACTTAGTACAAACTACAAACCAACCAAAGTCATTCATGTCATTTGAATGTTGATTGGTAGCACAAGAAGAAAAGTTCCTGCACTCTTTCAGTCGGACAAACCCAGTGTTGTGGTCGATATTTACACCTTTCGCGAAGAATTAGAAGAGGTTATATGTTATGATGAATAATCGGCTTGTAGAAAACTCTCGTAAGAAGTTCCTTTGAGTTTGTTGGCAACTTCGTCCCAGTTTTTAATGTGTTCTGATAATGGTCCTTTATGTATCTTTACTTGACGGCTCGTTAGTTCCATTACCGGCAATCCTAAAAACTCTTGCACCTCTTTTAGCTTCTGCAATATAAACATAATCAGTGAAATCACATTTTTGTGAACTTTCAATGTATTGACATAAACATTTGTGAGGATGTTTGTGAAAACTTCATAAAACAACTTATGAAATGTTCGAAAGTTGTTTCATAAGTTGTTTTGAGCTTATTTCCGCAAACTCTACATTATAACTTATAAATACAGCTTGACATTTTATACTTAAACAATTATATGATAAGCACTTATACTATAACGAGGCTCTTACGGTTCGATTTCTGATAAGATCCTCGTAGTACAAAATCATATGTTGTGTGGTGTTGAAGTATTCTAACGCTGTTGCAGCTTTTCTCTCCATATCATTCAGATCAGCCAGCAACGACGACGAATTTATGGTAGGCTTGTACTTTGAAAGCGTATCAGCCTGAAAGAAGTCGAGGATGAGTTTCATTTTCTGTATAAAAAAGAAAAGAAGTGAAAGGAGAACCAGATAGGAAAAGAGACCTCTTCTTTAGAATGAACATGAGACTTATGAGTGCCATTCAATAGCTTAGCATAACGGTCGTAGGAATTGGCAAGCCTCGATACCACTCGGCGTAACAAGTTTCTGCGGAAAAGAAAAATGACAGAAACACCTCTACAGTTGAAGTATTCGGCTATTTCCTTTGGGTGCTCCAATAATCCCTGCATAAAACTAGAAACGTCTTAATTCTTTTATTACTAAATTTTATAATAACCTATGCAACAAATGATAACTATCTATGCATTTGGGTAACCATAACTTATATAACACCGACACTTCAGATTAAAGGCACGTCTAGGAACAGAAACAACACCAAAAAAAAATGTGGTTACATTCAAATATTTCATTTTTTCAAATTAGTATCGGTGTTGACGTGTTAGTAACAGTGTCAGTGTCGTGTCTGAGCTAAAAGGGCAAACCAAACATCAATAATAACAATCAAAGCAAGTATGCCTTATCATGTTGCATGAAAGCATTGCATTAACAAATATTGATTTCCATGACAATTAAATTCTCATGCACTTATGGAGAACCAAAATAGCTACTTGGATGGAATCTGTTGAAATAATATAGCAAGTGTGAGTAAGTGGAGAAATAGTCTCACATTGGATAAGATTGTGGAGGCTTAAGCATATATAAGTGGAAGAACCAATTCACCTATCACCTTAAGTTTTAGGTGGATAAGTGGTGTGTCTCTCACAATTAACATTCATTTTGAATTAAAATTATGCCAAGTTACTTCCACATCAAGAAAGAAACTCAACAACAAAACTAAGTGTGAAATTTTACCTGATTAAGCATCCACTTCAAGCCAATAGCAGCAGAACACTCATTCTTGGAAGCACTATTGAGCCAATCTAAATTGTAAATTTTATCTAAAGTCTTAACTATTGTCGATACATTTACTCGTCTTTCGGGAACCGAAAATATCTCCCCATTCGAGCTTACATTCATATGACTATTCAAAAGGGTCTCAAACCAACCACTTCCCGATCTTTGATTCGTCAATATAGCAAACAAACGAATCGGATTTTTAGCACACTCACTCCTAGCAACAAAAACAACAACAACAAAATGTAACAAGGTCCAAATTGTAACACAAAAAAAAAAAACATGAACTAATCTTAGAAAAAAAATTCTCATTACCTGTTAAAAGTCAGAGGATTAGGATAATGTAGGTAAGAAAAGTCTAATAGGTTGAACATATTCCTATTAGGCTTCTCAAATTGTTCCAACTCAAGAAGTATAGTTCTAGCATGAATGCTTGTTTGTTTCAAACAAACATAGAATACAAAAACACCACACACCATTGAAAACATCAACAAAGACATCCTTAACAACATTGGTGATTTCTTCTGAGCCTTTATAACAAGAATGTCCTGCATAAAAAACACAGATACATAGATCATAAATTTAGAGGTGAAAATTGATTAAAGATAGAAACTTTATGAAAAACTAAACATGTCCATTAAACTAAATGAAGATTAATGGGTCCAAAATTCAAATAATGAACGACTCAGATCGAAAGAAATTAATTATTTATATCTTGAAATAGAAAACAAGAAGCACATTGTTTGTTCAAGAACAAAGGACAAACATTCTTATTAACTAACAAAGGACCACACATAGAAACACAAACACAAACAAAAGAAGTACAATGTTATGTTATGTTATGTTACCTTGTTGAAGTAAAACATGTCTTGTACTACCATTGTTGTTTTTTGATTTAGACAAGAAAAAAACAAAGGAAGTGGAAATAAGAGGAGTGAAGGTTTAGGAAGAAGGTGAAGATTGAGGTTTGGGAGTTTGGATCTTGTTTGTGTTTTGAGGAAGCTGTTTTTTTTAAGACCTTGAAAAAAGCAGTGTTTTTCAGTTCTCTCTTCATTCCACTTTGAACACAAAAGTTGTACTGGAAAGAAACATATTGTTGAATTTTTTATTCTAATTTACTGTATCAATACTTAAACAAATATTTTAAATAAATTCTAGACCAGTGAGGTGGTCCCTTTTGTCATTTTCAATTTTTTTTTTTTAAGGTTTAATATATTTTGAACAAAAAATTGTTTTTGCATAATTTTCTTTTTATGTTTAATATAAAAAAAAACTGAACCAACCAATTATGAAACTTTTGTTTTTGAAAAACTCAAAGATAGCCTAAAAAAAGTGAAGGTGTGATGAGATTTGTAATAATGGGAGGTGGAAGCAGCAGCATGATGATGTGGTAACGTAACTTAAACGGTATTCAGTCCCACTGACGCCAGGAGAGATTATAAAATTCATCAACTTATCGATTAAGCTTTTACTTTGACTTTTGTTTTACCTCTTCTCCATTCTGACTTATCGTGCAATTAATTAATACAGTTTTTTTAATTTAAGATAATTTCTTAAATTCCATATAACTATATTTTCAAACAGTACTATATTACAAAAACCAGTTTTTCAATTTTCATAAGTTGGGTATAAGCTCTAAATGCATTATTTGTTGTTCGTTGGTTTAATTTATATTGTACTACCACTGAAGCATGGACTTAATGGAGGCAGTTGTATAATTGGTCTGTCAAAAAGCATTAATAACCTCTGACATCTGAAGAAATTATTTTTAACATTTTTTTTTTAAAGCCGGCTGATTTGGCTCTAATAAAATTAGAAGAAAAGTGCAATAACGATAGATGGATTTTGGTGTGTATGAGTGATTTTCTTTTTCTTTTTTATCTTCTCTCTCATTTTGAGATTGAGATATATAGAAAATTTTTTAGAGTTGGGTCAGAATCATGGAGTGGTTTTTCTAGCTTCATGTTTAGAGACGTGTAATAAATGAAATTGGTTCTTTCTTAAATTATGGGGAGATAGTTTCTTTATTGATTGATCTTTCTGGTAAATTAGTGTTTGGACATGTTACCACCTAAGTACGTTAAGCAAACGAGTGAAGGAAATTAGCTTAGGAGGCCCAAGCTCAAATCGACAACTTTCAGAGGTATTTCGAGCAACCTACTATCCTGTTTTAGGGAGTTTGCCTGACAATAATATATTTGGTTCTCGTTGCTCCAATACATTATTGCAGTCCATAGTCCCTTAAGCACGATGCCTTGAAAAGGGTAAAGTGATTTAACTCAAAGGTACTGCAATCTTAAAGATAACACGAATCCCTAAAGCAAAGCTTACGGCTAGTCACTTGGGTGGGATTGGGGTGAGTCCAATAGGTGACCTTAGGGCGAGTCTAAGGTGAATCAATTGCGGCCTAAATGCATATTCTTTAATGTATTGGTTTACTTTTAACGACGTTATTTTCACCTTTTGCATACCTCTTTTATAACTGCGCCTTTCAAATTTGTCAATGAAAATTTTCATACTCCATGGCGATTTTTTTAATGATATTTAGGTTCGTCGTAACTTGTCCATTAATTTTGAGGTCTATATTGCCTCTCTTGCACGAACTATTTGTGTGGGGTGACTCCCTTAAGCACTGCTTAGGGTGAGTCTCTCAAGCGTTGCTTAGAGTTCCCTTGGTGAGGATTCTTTAGTAGAACTCTTGCGGTGATATGTCTCATAGGGCAGTAAGGATCCTTGAAAGAAAGTCTAACATATAATTACTTTGTAGGGCGACAAGGATCCTTCAATGAAGGCCTAACGTATAATTATCCCATAGGTCGTGAAGGATCCTTCAATGAAGATCCAGCATATAATTACCCTATAGGATGGAAAGAATCCTTCAATAAAGTGAAGGTACGAGAAACACAAGAAATGGGAGGTTTGAATTGGGTTTCTAGATTTAAAACTTTTGACTCACAAACAAAAAAAGATGAAACAAGAACAAAAATAGATGAACACAATTATTTATCATGGTTCACTGTTAACGAAGTTAATCCAGTCCACCCACCAAGGTAAGTTGTCTTTCTTAATAAAGGCTTAATCCACTATAACCAAACTGATTACAGACACAAACAAATATTACCCGTCAATATTTACAAACCACAAAGACTAACCATCAATGTCTTCTTGAGAAATTATGTATATACCCTAGTCTCTCAAGGAACAATCAACTCCAGGGTTGAAATACAAAGTGTGTTTACAAGGATGCTTCTTAGAAAGTTGATTACACAAGTTGAAATACAAAGAAATAACACAACAGGGTTAATAGCAAGTTGAATGAACAAAAGTTCTTTGCTTGCAAGTTAACGAACAAAAGTTCTTTGATTTATGTTCCAAACTGGCTCAATGACTAGACATGGCCCAATCTGCTTATGCGTTCAAAGCGACCCAATAGTTTTGGCCCATCAGTTGGGGAAAACAAATAGACGATTCCCTCTTCTGACCCTTAGCCAAGGAAGCTTGGTCGTGTGACCCCCCCCCCCCCCCCCCCCCTCGGGTCCAACAAGACCATCGCTTCCCTTGGCCATACTTTTATCCGCATCAGCGGCAAGTCTTCATTATGTCTGTCATGCACGGAGCATACATCTAAGAATAACGAGACCATGTTTGCTCGCGACCGCGTCCCTGCTCGTGGAAACGGCTAGTTTTGGGAAACTCTTCTTGTTACAACGGCTAGTTCCTAGCAGTTACCAGAAAAATGCACCTCCGACGTACGGGCAGGGAAATTTCTCGGCTTCTACCTAACAAAACGAGGAATTGAAGCAAACCCCAAAAAGTGCATGGAATTCTCCGAGTTTCTAACGCCAAACTCAAAACAATTTAATCCAATCTCTGAACAGGATGCTCACCTCATTAACCTGTTTCGTGGCAAAATCTGCCCAACACATACTTCCCATTTTTAAACTTCTTCGCAAAGAGGCGACATTTGAGTGGATCGAGGAGTGCAAACAAGCACTCCTCTACCTCAAACGAGCACTCCCGAAACCACCGGTCCTCTCATGGCCATATAACGATAAAATTCTCTACCTCTATTTCATCGTCGCAGTTGAGGTCGTCAGCACAGCTCTCATTCGGGAAATCACAGAGGGGAAAAAACCCATTTATTTCATGAGCAAGGCCCTACAAGGTCTCGAGCTCAGGTATCAGCTGATCAAAAAGGTGTTTATGGTCCTCATCAATGGATCAAGAAGACTATGTGTCATTTATTGTCTTTGTGTAAGTTGCCTTGACAAAAAATGTCATTTATTGACTTCTGAAAATGACATATAATGTATTAGATCATAACTTCCAAATGAAGCATTTTTTGGACTTGAGAATAAAAGCAAAGATGTAGAGAATTGAATTTTATTCAAAATGGTCTTTGGTTGGGGAAAAGTTGATGAAGCATGTGAAAGTTATGCCTGGTCAAAGTTCAGTTGACTTCTCCTAAGGAAACCCTAATTTGGCAATTTTTGACTTTTGATGATCTAAGGGTTTTCCTTGAGGAATCATGATCAACCCCTGATCAAATGATGAATATCACTTCAAAATGTTGATGTTGACCAAAAATCTTGAAGTTTGATTGTAGGTTGACCACAGCTGACTTTTTGACCAATACAATTGATTTTCAGTCATTTGAGTCATTGACTGAGCAAACTTGTGATGTAGGGCTTGAAACTTGACATTAACCTTGTTAAGGATCTATGAAGAACCATGTAATCCACTTGAGACCTTTGCGAACAAAATTTCCTTGAGAAACTCCAAACCCTAGTTGTGGGCTTTTGGCTTAGGAGGAGCATCTTGACTAGTCAACCCTTGAGTGTCTTGACTATTTGAAGAGCCTTGAAAGAATGCTTTAAAAAATGAGAGGGAAAATTTTGGGGTACAAAAGCTGCCCATGTTCAATCTTCTTAAATCTGAAGAGTTAGATTGGCTTGTCCGCCATTTGTGACTTGAAGGTAGAAGATGATTGAACACTTAAGTTCCCTGAAATTTGCACTCGCTTGTGTAAGGAGTAGTGTCGTTGGTTGAGTATATCAGGGGATGGGCTTATAGATTCCATTTGGAGAGGTGACGGAAAGTCGTCGGAGATGAGATTATATATGACATCCAAAGTAGTCGTTGACTTCAATTAGATAAGAATCAGAAAGATCTAGGAGCTGACTTAACTGAATCAGAGGAGGAGTCTACCGGGAAACGAATCAGGATAAATCATTGGTCAATCTAAACTGAAACAATAGAGGTCTTGAATTATATTTAACTGGAGACGAATCAGAAAAATCTTAGGGTCGATTTAACTGAACCAGAGAAGGTCTTTCGCCTGTTATTAACTAGAGAAAATAAATCTTCCAGAAGAGGTCTTTCACCTATTATTAACCGGAAGAACAAATCCATACCAGAAGAGGTATTTCGCCTGTTATTGACCAAAAAAGACGAACCCATACCAGAAGAGGTATTTCGCCTGTTATTAATTGGAAGAGATGAACCCATACCAAAAGAGGTCTTTCATCTGTCATTAACTAGAAGAGTAAACCCATACCAGAAGAGGTATTTCACCTGTTATTAACTGGAAGAAAAAATCCATACCATAAGAGGTCTTTCGCCTGTTATTAACTGGAATAATAAATCCATTCAAAAGAGGTTTTTCGCCTGTCATTAACTAGAAGAGATAAACCCATACCATAAGAGGTCTTTTGCATGTCATTAACTGGAAGAGATAAACCCATACCATAAGAGGTCTTTCTCCTGTCATTAACTGGAAGAGATAAACCCATACTATAAGAGGTATTTCGCTTGTCATTAACTAGAAGAATAAATCCATACCAGAAGAGGTCTTTCGCCTGTCATTAAATGGAAGAGATAA